GGGGGGGGGGGGGCCTAGAACTAAAAAGTCCTTGTAGATAAAAATTACATTTCCTTATCTTTGGGATTACCTGCTTAACAGTTTGTGATATTCATGAATAATAATTAGTATAAAATGCCTGGATATATTTTTCCTTGACATTTTATTCAAATATGAGATAAGAGCAGAAATAATTTATAAATTATCCCATAATATGATAGCTGAATGCTGGAAGGTGTCAATGTATATACTTTTTTTTTATAACACATTTTATAAGAACACTGAGGCTGAAATTGCTTAAAAACTAAGAACAAAATAAGAACAAATTGAGGCTGAGGTAAAATTTCAAATGAGGTTTATATTTTTAAAAACCAAAATATTATATCTGTACATTATGTGCAGTAGGTGTGATGGTAGTATATTGCCCTGAATACTGAACATCAGTGGGAGAGAATACAGTGCAAAGTTAGAATGTTTAATAGAACCAGTGCATCTAATAAAAAGCCATCTTTTATTTCAAACTAATTTTACAACATTATATCTTTATCAAAGTGCCCTGTAAACTAAAAGAAAATAACTAAATGTGATGGGTTTTCATGCGTAATGTTTTTAATAGTGAAAGAAGTCATTACTTGTAGGCTATTATATCATGTTGTATTTTGTTCGACGCCCACCACCGTATCGACTTCAGTGATACCTTGATGGAACACTCAATTTAGCTCTGAACCATGGCATTGAATACAAATTGATGTACTGTTCTTTACTGGCACAGCATATTGATGTATAAACTACTGTGTAAACATTAATAATCTTCACCATTAGTTGCTTACATAGGCACTGTGTCCTTGGCAGTATAGGCTTTACTGCAGTAAGCTGCTGTACTGTACATTAATTTTCATAATGGGATCTCCATTGTTGAGTCCGAAACAACTTGTGTACAGTATATGTGTATCCATCCTGTTAGTGTCATGAACATCTTTGTTTTTTCAGAAGTTGAAATAATGATAATATACTAAATAGACATAAATTGTATTTGTGTAAATTATCCCTTGGTTGTTTCCTAGTATCACTGACCAACTGGTGATTTACTAGAAGGAAATCAAATCAATTTTTTTTTTCATAAAATTGGTTATGTTTAATGTGGAATCATGTGTCTGAGTGATAAGGATTCAGGCCTAAATTATATAATGTTGATAGTTTGTGTCTGAGGACTTCGACTTGTTTGTCTTCTTTGACAAAGTACTTTAAACCTGGTTGCCTACCAATTACCATAAAATTGACTACGGTGTCACTACAGTGCAGTCGTTATGCCGCGTAGCTACCACACTTCACAATCGAGAAGGCTCGCTGAATCCATTGACCAATCTGTATCCTCTAAAGTTGTCAGACATAGCATGTAGCAATTTTATGGAAGCCAGGCCGGTACTTACAGTATTTCCCCTTTCCACGAATGAGTAGGCTTGTAATAGGTTGGTATGGTATATCTTCCTGTTACTGTTTGAATGCCAATTGATATTGAGGTATATAGTCCTATTGTATGTCATTGTCAGTAAAACTGAAGACCAAAAATAATAATTGGAAAATCCCTTAAAAATAATGGGGTTTTTTTTGTAATCGGCTTTAAACAAATTTCCAAATCATAAAGTGCCACCGTCAATGTCGATGGGTATCACCAACATTGTCAAAATAATTTTTCAAAATTGTTTTTAAAAATTGAGAAAAAAAAAATTATAATCAAATTTAGGTCTGAGAAAGTCCCTCCCTGGGACCCTCTTATTCAAATTCCTAGATTTGGCACTGCTCAAGAGTAGCGAAATAATATTAGTAGAAGTGAAGGAAGCTCAGATCTCAATTATTAAACTTGATTAAAACACATACCATTTCATTGATTACATCTAATTAAGATACAATATAAAAATATGTGAAAATTGAAACATTACATTAACATGAAAATTGCAAATAATGGATTGAGATTTTTTTTTGGGGGGGGGGGGCTAGAACTAAAGAGTCCTTGTAGTTACATTTCCTTATCTTTGGGATTACCTGCTTCATAACAGTTTGTGATATTCATGAATAATAATTAATATAAAATGCCTGGATATATTTTTCCTTGACATTTTATTCAAATATGAGATAAGAGCAGAAATAATTTATAAATTATCCCATAATATGATAGCTGAATGCTGGAAGGTGTCAATGTATACACTTTTTTTTATTATAAAGAACACATTTTATAAGAACAGTGAGGCTGAAATTTCTTAAAAATTAAGAACAAAATAAGAACAAATTGAGGCTGAGGTAAAATTTCAAATGAGGTTTATATTTTTAAAAACCAAAATATTATATCTGTGACTGTAATATCCTCTATTATACAGTACAGTAGGTGTACCTATCTGACTTAGGGGCCATTTTTGTGTCACTT